CGATTCACATCTAATCTTTTGTGTCCCATCATTACCTGGATGTATTTAAAAAAAACAAATCAATTTCCATGCCTGATGATGTCTGTATGAACAGATGAAAGTACTAGCAAAAAAAGACCTTATACAAGTTGAATTTATTAAAAACAGGGATCACAAAATTCATCTAGAGGTTCGTGGATTAATATAATTTTAATAAATTTGTTTGCAAAGATGTATTCTTGCCATTTATATCATTAACTTCACTAATCTGTTTTTGTATGAATGATTCATGTAATATATATATATGTATATATATATTTTCAACTGATATATATTTTAACCAACTCATGAAACTTAAGAACAGCCTAAACTTTGTCTCTTTTGAAGTGTGACACTGAATTATTTTTGCTCTGTCTTAATAACCCAGGCATAAACCACTGTTGGTTACTGTCTAGGTAGGTGTCTACCACTTAGTTTTCTTTTTTTTCTTAGTTTATTTTCCCTGTTCCTCTATAAGTTTTCTTGATTTTTGTTGTTAGTTGTTTTCTATTTGAGTTTTCTTTTGTTCACCTAGCAGGCATTCTGTTGTATCAACACTTCGGATTTTTGTGATATATATATATATATATATATATATATATATATATATTCTACACTATTCTAGTATATTAAAGCAAAAACATGTTAAAAATTGCTACACAATTACAATCATGTTTCAACACTATGAATGTGTCTTCACATTAGTTTAACATCACCTGAGGAGACACATTTAATGGAAAACCATGTCATTTTTTAATCTTTTTATTTATATCCTCTTATTTTTTTAAATAAGGATCTGCTTTTAGTCTTATGATTGTTACTACAATATTTTGTTAAAATTGTTAACCTTAAATATTTAACAATGCAATAGGTGAATTTCAATGGGTATTTGAGCTTATTCAGTTGTTAAATTAAGATTCATCAGAAAAATTCAAATAGAAAACCCATGAAGTTTTCACGGGTTTGCTAGTTAATATAAAGCCTGGTTTTGTTTGAGATTTTCCACTGGCTTCTATTGGACTTTCTATGATTTATATTTCGAAAAGAAGATAACAAGTTTCTCTTTCTTTGTCACTATTCATTAAATAGTGACTGTCATTATTTTTGTTGCTTCTTTTTCACAATTCTTTGCAGAATCCATTCACCTGAAGATGATTGGCTGAAAAATGTTGAAAATAAAAACTGGACTTAGAGTTCCTATGGAAAAGTTCCACAATGTAATAAATTTTCATAACACAAAATTGTCAGGGGCATGTTAGAATTAAAACCTCAAAGGAGAGGATAATTTAGTTTGAAGATCTCTATGATGCAATTCAATTCCGTATGACAGAAAATTATGGATCAGTTTTCCTGTAATAAAAAGTGCTGTCAAGTTCTTTAGCCAGCTAAGAATAATGGTCTGGAACCATGAAATAGAAATGAAATGTTGTATTCTATGTTTGTCAGAGGAACGGTCGACTAATGTGTAGTGGCTTTCTCACACTGTTTATATCATATATCTCATTGTCTCTCTCCCTCTCTTTTGCACTCTCAATCTGTTTATTATTCTCTCTCTCTCTCTCTCTCAGACTGTTCAACTCTCTTTATTTCTCACTCTGTTCATCTCTCTTTTTATCTCTCAGTCTGTTCATTTCTCTCCCTCTCTGTTTCAATCTGTTCATCTCTCTCAAACCATTCATACACATCTCACCCTCTCTCTGTTCATTTGTCTTTACCTCTCTTTTATCATTGTTTGCATCTGTTTGTCAGGGGATTTTTTTGTTGTTGTCGTATCTGTTTCACTATCTGTCCAACATGGTTGAAATTTTTTTAGAACAAAGGAAAATATTCCTCTTCTTCTGCTTTGCTTTTTTCTCTGATCAACACTTTCACATTAGACATAACATTTAGTCCTACCCAGTTGTCCTTGATTCCACCCCCTTTCAAAAAAACAACATAAATTTATCTATGAGTCAAAACTGCTCATAGGCAAGAATATTTGCAAAAGTTTGCAATTTGACAATTTTCATTGTTATTGATGATGCTTACTACTTTTCTAAAGAATCATTATTCTCCTTTAATCATTGTGGCATGACAGTGATGAGACCTTTTTCAAAATACATGGTGATAGGATAGTGTACAGAAAAAAGTGAATTCATATCTTTCCCAAAAGTTTCAGCTGGTATTTGAACTCTGTTTATTGATTCCAAGACTCTACATCTCTCTTTGTTCATATCTATCTATCTATCTATCTATCTATCTATCTATCTATCTATCTGTCTAATCTATTTTTATTTCTGAATTTCTGGCAGGACGAATTATCATTATTTACACATTCGGACTATTGTCTTCATCTTTGTTGTTTTTATCACAATGACAAAGTTGGGGACAATAGTCCAGATGTAATTAGTGTAAATATCTATCTATCTATTTATCTATCTCAGTCTTCATATCTATCTATCTATCTATCTATCTCAGTCTTCATATCTATCCAGCTATCTCAGTCTGCTCACATATATCTATCTATTTATCACTTAATGCCAACAGGCAAACATGAAATATCTCAATATTAAGTACATTGCTAATATATTATTATTTTATGTTTTTAGCTTCATGTTAACTTTCTTTAGGTATTTAGACTTAGATTTAAACATCAGAATTCTTTCTTACTATGGAGTTAATTATATAGATTCGTTATTCCCAAAACGTGTAATGATGTTTGCTCCCACAGCATATTTGAAAATTTCTCCACAGTCAGAGGTTGATTTACCCAACAGATTAAAAACTCAGGGCAGGTGAACAGAAAAATCACCAGTTTTCAGAGAACTTAAAACGATTACTTGGTTACTTATTTTAATGCATCATTTTACTTATAATTATTGCCACAGGACTTGACATCATCATAATCCAACGTTTGTCTCTGATATCATCATAATCCCACATGTCTCTGATATCATCATAATCCAACGTTTGTCTCTGATATCACCATGATCTCACATTTGTTTCTGATATCATCATAATCCAACGTTTGTCTCTGATATCATCATAATCCTACATAAATAAGAGGTATTGCTTTTACAGTAACCTTTGGATATATGATGTTGGATCCAAGTGAATATTTATGCAGGAATTCCTCAATTCTTTCCATAATTTGCACATCTGTATCTCATTATTGTGTTTTTTGCCTTGGGAAATTAAAGGAATTGTCTTAACAATAATTCTCTTCTTTTCAGTTCCATTTTATTGTTATTATTATTGTTATTCATCAACTGGATGCCATTCCTGATGCTAGCACTTAGGGGATTTAAAAGCACAAATAAAAAGCCAATTTGATAATGAAATAGCTTTTGCTGTTTAAAAATGTCGTGTGTTGTGTTGTCATAAAAGTTGCTTCTCTATTTATTATTTGATGGCTGGCAAAAAGAATGTTTAGTCTGAAATATTAAAGATGGCAGCAAATTAGGTATTTGATGAAAATAAAGAATGAAAACTATATGGTTAGAGTAGATCTTCTGTACCTGGTAATCTTCATGGCTTAATTGATAAAGCAGCTGTCATAATAAGATCAGCTTTTTAAAGAAATAGAGATATGAGTCTAATCAAACATTTATTTTTTATTTTCAATCTGTGCTGTGTATGTTTTATCTTAATCTTATAAAATTCCTTATTGGATTCTAAGGCTACAACATCACCCTGTGTGATGTTACTGATGTTGTTTCCACAGCAGAAATACATTTTTATGGGGTGGAATTGCTAGTCCTACTACAAACCAGTCTTGAATTCAGAGTTATCTTTCTCCTAGACTGGTTGTCAACCAAAGCTAAGAAGTCCAGTCTACCCTACTATTCTTTAACATTCTGGAGGTAATTTTGTCTGCAAAGCAAAATTTTATCCTACCACTGCAAGTGACTCAGATTAATGGATGATAGCATGTTTGAATTTTGCAGTTGTGTTGTCATATCCTGCTATGGCAACAGAAAATGACCATGACTGAAATTAAGTAGTGTAGTAGAGGAGCTTTGAAAAACAATGCAGTGGAAAGGAAATTAGTGAATAATGCAGTATGTTAAAGGTTAATCCCTAACTGATGACAGAAGAAATTGCAATCTTGTCTTACCAAGGGTAGTTGTTTAAAAGTGAATACAATGGCCTCAGTTAGAATTTGAACTCAACAATCCAATCCCACTTTCTACATTGATAACTGTCACGCTATGTGTGCATCTAATCTGGCCCTAACAGTTTCTATAAAAAGAAATAGTAATTTAAAGGAACTAGATATTAGTCAAAAAATTAATAATAATTCAATCATCCTGTTGGAAAATGCCCTCAAGTCCAGATACATTTTTCATTTGTTATTGTCAGTTGGGAGGAGTATTTGTTCAAAGCAATTGTTTATGCCCCTGGAAGTCACTCATAATAGAAAATGTCCTTCCAATTTCACCATATAGAATCACTTTGGGTGAAAACTGGGCTCTAGAATGGTTAATGGTGGTTCTTCTTTTTGTTTTGTCTGTGGTCTCTTGCATTTCACATTATTGTAAAGTATCCACTATCTATTGCTCATCATAATTTGTTTTAAAAATAAAATATTTTCATTTTTAGTAGGGTCCATTTTATTTAATTTATTAAAAGCTACAGATCAAAGAGATTAACATGATTATGATTAACATAAGCTGATGCAATAAACAAAGATGAGGACAATAGTCTGAATGTAAATAGTATAAGTAATAATAACACCTCATCCCAGAAATTCAGGGAGAAAATAGATAGATATGAACAAAGTTAGAGATAAAGTTTGAATGTAGATTTTTGGAATCTGCAAACTGACTTCAAATTCTAACTGAAACCTTTAGGAAAGCCATGAATTTGCTTCTTTCTGTACACTATCCTATCATCATATATTTTGACAAAAGTCTCATCACTGTCATGTCATAATGATAATAGGGGGAATAATGATTCTCTAGGGATAGAAAAACATTAGGTATCATTCAATAACAATGAACATTGTCAAAATGCAAATATTTCTGCCTATGAGCAGGTATTGAGTCATATTGGCTATGCCTCCTGTATCATGTAATGATAATTATCCTCAAGTCTTGATTTGATTATAAATTAACATCAACTGATCAACTCAGCATATTCACATCTAGTCTGATGCTTTTGCTATATATTTAGAGATTTTTGCTAGAATACAAAGAAGAATCTGCAATGTTATTTATCCTGACCTAGCATCTTGGCTTCAGTTACTTTCCCCCTGCCATAATGTAGCTTCCCTGTGCATTTTCTAAAGATATTTTCATCATAATTGTTCTGATGAACTTTTCTCTCTGGTACCTAAACTTTATGAATTTAAAGTGTAGTACTAGATTGGTAGCAAGGTCTCATCACTTTACAATTGAAATGGCTGCTAGATGTAACCGTAAGTATCTGTCTATATTTCTTAGGTGATCTTCAAACGGAGTATTAAAATTATTATTTACATTATTCGGACTATTTTCCTCATCTTTGTCTCCATAATTATTCAATGTTTTAAAAAATTAAAACTGTAATAAAACCTTCTTCATATGGTTGGAATGTCGAACTGAACCCTTTATTTTCTTGACTGGGGTAGACTGTTCTAGTTCCACATGCCATTTTAATGGGTTATTTATCAGTTTTCGTTGTGTTAATTTCCTCTGAAAGTTCTCCACGCCTTAACCAGGTATTGAACCATACTTTTGTGTCGTTTCAAAGGGATCTAACTAACACTTTTATCCACTGTGCCATGTGTCCTTGAATATGGTGACAAAGATGAGGACAATAGTCCGAATAATGTAAATAGTATAGAATGCCTAGAGGAGAAATATAGACAGATACTGAAGGGCCGAAACGTTGTAATAAATATGGTGACAAAGATGAGGACAATAGTCTGAATAATGTAAATAGTGTACATAATACTTCATCTCAGAAATATAGACAGATACTGAAGGACCGAAACATTGTAATAATTATGGCAACAAAGATGAGGACAATAGTCCAAATAATGTAAATAATGTATGTAAGCATAAGTTTTCTGTTAATAGTTTTTCTATCACATTTCTTGGATAAGGTGAAACCATTTTCCCATTTAGTCTATGCAAAAGCTTGGGTGTTTAAAATAAAATTTGGTCAGAGAATTTAAAGTTTGATTCAATAAACCTTTCATAATTATCTTTTTCATGCAATGTCCCATTAGGAAATCATGGTTCTCTACAGCTTCCTGTCCTTTAGTTGCTGCATATCTTTCTTTTAAAATGTAATGTTCTTTCAGGAAATTGGCAATCAATGCTCTCCACAGCTTCCTCTCCTTGAGTTACTGCTATTATTTCTTTTAAATACCAAGTCTCTTCAGGATGTGAGCACTCATGGTTCTGTATGACTTCCTGTTCTTTAGTCACTGCATTCAAGATAGAGGTAATCATGGCCCTCCACAGCTTTCTTGTATTTAGTCACTGTTAATTTTTTTAAATGCCATGTCTCTTAGGTACTTGGGTGATCGTAGCTCTCCACAGCTTCTTTGAGTCACTACTAATCTATTTTTAAATACCATGTTTCTTCAGTATATGGGTGATCATAGCTCTCCACAACTTCTTCTCACTACTAATCTGTTTTTAAATACCATATCTTTTTAGGTGAATATTGCTCTCCACAGCTTCTTCTCTTTGAGTCACTACTAATCACTTTCTTTTAAATAGCATGTTTCTTCAGGATATAGGTAGCCATAATGGATTTGTTTTTGCTTTATTATCTGTAAGTTGCTATGACTTCAAGAGAAAGAAATTTTCCTATTGCCTTCAGTATGGTTTTGAATTCAGTGTAGTCTTTCTCCTAGACTGGTTGACACTCAAGGCTAGAAAACCATAATTATTTCTATTCAATAACATTTAACAATTTAAAATATAACCTACACAATATCTGCTATGATAATACAAACTGGAAATACCTGATCTTGCTACCCATAATGCCCCATTGACCAGCATATATCAATAGTTGAGTTACCAACCAACATACATTGAAGATAGTATTCAAGCATGAACCAGACACTTGCCACACAGTACTGACATCAGCATCCATTCTCATATATAGGATTAATAGAAATGTAAAATTTTTCACTTAGCTGATTGATGTTACCTTCAACATCCTGACTCTAAAGTTTCGTAGGTGGACCCTTCAGCAATCGCTCCATCCACTCGTCAGGGGATATTTGTAAATTGAAATAAAACTAAAACAAAAACCATTATTGCCTGGTAAGTTCCCAATAAAAAAAAAATAACATGAAGGTTAGGGAATTTATTTTTTTGAAAAATCTTTCAGTTGAATTGATTTTTTTTTTTTCAAACCAGTCTCCTACATATGTGTTACCTTCATTTTATATTCATGAAAACCTAATTTATATATGCCGTAAAGAACAAAAATAATCCGTTTATACAATATGCCAAGTGCATTTGTATATTTTTGTCTGTAGATTTTTACTATGTTAGAGTT